TGCTTGAGGACAGAGATCTATGGATATGCTTTCCAGACAAGTATGATTGATTTGAATACTCATGTGTTTTTTTAAGCGCTTTCTGATTTTTCCAAGGCACAAAACAGATTTGCACCGACACAGAGTCAAGACGCCGGAATTTTTTTCGCTTTTTCTTTGGTATTTTCCAAGATCCCATTTYCACATCTCTCGAACCTCTCATACTTCTCGTGTCTTGTTCATAAACTTCTTTTTACATATACATATACATGTACATATATGTAGACCGAAACTTTTGTTTAAAAATTCTAAATTTCACAAGTCAGAGACAACTTTAAATCATAATCAATCATGAGTCTTGACTGCAATTTTGGAATATATGTATATATATATTTATATCATATATAATTTTTTTCGCTTTTAGTTCCCAATAAAAATGCTCTAAAATGTTTTAACTTCGCGAACTCTCAGTCCTACATAATTAACTAAAGACTTTTAAAATACTAAGTTTTTAATATTTTGCATAGCCTTCACTTTGTAAATATTCCACAAATGTTTGACCTTCAAACTTTCTTCTATTCAGGTTGTCCAAGTCACAGTGTTGGTATACCCGATCCTAGTTCGGTACCTGATCACAGGTTTACAGCATCAACATTTTATGGACCTTACCCGCCTTATTACGGGAGACTGGATGGTAGCAAATCCTGGGCCCCGAGTTCCCGAAATGCACCTGGTGATTATCTACAGATTGATCTAGGTGCTGTTTTCTACATATGTGCTGTAGCAACACAGGGGGATGGGGAATTCAAAGATAATTGGGTAAAAAAGTACAAAGTATTGTACTCAACAAACAACGAACTTTGGTCAACATATTACAACAAGTCAAGTGAAAAAGAGGTAATGCTTGGAAGCCAGCAATTTTAGAGATTTTAAACGCAGCTTATCAATGTTGGTGGGGGGAAAAATAAAATTTTCAACCACAGCTGATTACCTTTAATTCTCAGAGGTGTTTTGACTACCTCAAGTTGTGAAATTGCCTATTTGTAAGGCTGAGTGTATCTTATAAATAATTCTTTTTGCTGCAAAATTGGAATAACATGAAAAGAAATTCAGTTCCCCAAGGGAAAAGCCAGACTGTATATTGTTGTGACTCCTTTCACGGTTTCCATCACGTGATGGTGCAAGTCCTCAATCTAAACCTTGGTTGTCTTCAAGTTTCTACGCTTATTTCAGCCAATTAAAAGAGTTAAAAGAGATGGACCCAAAGCCCTCGAAAACAAATTGAATATGCTATTTCTGTTTAGAGCTCTTGACAGTAAGATCCGGTTACTAAGTTCACTTTACGCCCTTTTCTTTTTGCGTTTGACAGTTCAGCGGCAACTCTGACAGAACAACAGTGGTTACTAATGTAATAACCAACCCATTCAGAGCCAGGTTTGTTCGTGTACTTCCAACTGCTTACCAAGGATGGAAGTTGCTAAGGGTGGATTTCAAAGGACTTTCTTTAGGTAGGAGGCAATATTTCGGAGTGCTCTTCATCATTGCATGTCACATGCCATTTCGCAAAACGTATAAATGTTCGTTTATTTTCTTCAAGGTTGCACTTCGTCGCTTGGTCTTGAGNACATCTACTGATGGTACAACATGGACCACTTATCAGGAGAACAATATTGACAGGGTAATGTAGCATTAGTGATAGTATGATAGATCAGTGGGTGAAGACGTACCAGATAAATGCATTTACTGATGGTACAACATGGACCACTTATAAGGAGAACAATACTGACAGGTTAATGTAGCATTAGTGATAGTATGATAAACTAGTGAGTAAAGAGGTACCAGATTGATATATCTACCGATGGTGTAACATGGACAACTTATAACGTATCCGGCATACATCTGTCACTTTTAGTGTAAGTGGGCTTTTTGTTTCTGGTTCACAGATATTCTACGGTAACTATGATCGTTCAACTGTTGTACGTCGTGTTCTCTACCATGGTATTATTACAAGATATCTACGTCTTGTACCCAAGACATACCAGCCTAGTTCACCCTGCCTGAGGACAGAGATTTATGGATATCCTTTTCAGACAAGTAAAATTAATTTGATATACTCTTGTGGTTTTTTCATACCCTGCGAACACAGTCTCCTTTTACCTCCTCTACCTCCTCTACGGGCGAGAGGAGGTATAGAGGAGGTAAAAGGAGACTCTGCTCGCAGGGTAGTTTTTTCGATGCTTTCCGATTTTTTCCAAGCACAAAACAGACTCGCCGACGCCGAGTCGAGATGCCTAAATATTTATCGCCTTTTTGGTATTTTCCAGGATTCCATTTTCAGTGTATAGAGACCCTAGCATGGGTCTCGGGTCCCGTTCATGACCTTCCTATTTATTCATGTTATGTATATATTACTTTTCATACTTAGTTCCCAATAAATGTTTAAAAAATACGTTCCAATTCCCAACTCCTCGAACGGCCCCTACATATTATCGGAGACCCTTTACATACTTAGTTTTTAATGTTTTGCATAGGTCTGCACTTTCTCGATACTACACATATTTTTGACCTCTAAACTTTCTCCTGTTAAGATTGTCCAAGCAACAGTGTTGGTATACCCGATCCTAGTTTAGTACCTAATCACAGGTTTACATCAACGCCGTATTATTGGCCTTACCCACCACATCATGGAAGACTTGGTAATAGCAAAGCCTGGGCTCCGAATACAGAAAATACACCTGGTGATTATCTACAGATTGATCTTGGTGCTGTGTTCTACATATGTGCTGTAGCTACTCAGGGGGCTGGGGAAAGTTTCAAGATTCACTGGGTGAAAAAGTATCAAGTATTGTACTCAACAAATAACGTGCAGTGGACAACATATCAGGACATGTCTGGAGAAACAGCGGTAATGTGCTTAGAAACCAGTTGATGTTGCAGTTTTTTTTACTATTATAAGTTGAATTGTGAATTGACGATTTGTAAATCTTTTAACAATAATAATAACAAGTATTAAATTGATCTTAATGTAAAATCCTAATTTTTAATTTTTCAAAGGAGTGTATCTTATAAATTATTCATCTCGCTGTAACTATCACATTATGTAATAAGTAAGTCACAATATTTTGATATCTAAATTCGAAACAAATCAAATTTAAACTTTTATTTTATTTTTGTAAGTTTTGACTTAATAAGTACGTAAAGACATGTCGAAACGTCGTCGAATTTTTATAGTTTTTATAAATTTTTATCTATTTTTATCTATTTTTTCTATGGGACATAGAATAAGTAGCATCAACTATCCGGTTAACATTTTCACTTTTCGCCCTTTCTTTTCCGTTTGACAGTTCATCGGTAACTCTGACAGAACAACAGTGGTTACTAATGCAATAACCAACCCCTTCAGAGCCAGGTTTGTTCGTGTACTACCAACGGAATACCAAGACTGGAAGATGCTAAGGGTAGATTTCAAAGGACTTTCGTTAGGTAGGTAACAAATATTGAAGTGCTCTGCATGACATTACATGTCATAAGATTTCTCCAAATTTATAAAGTGTTGTTCAATTTGTTAAAGGTTGCAGCTATTCGCTTGGTATTGAAAATTCAGAAATAACAGAATCACAGATGATGTCATCTTCGTCATCTGATGATTCTCATATTGCATCAAATGCTCGACTGTATGGCAATTCGTCATGGTGCAGCCAAACAAATGGTAATAATGAGTACATACAGGTTGACCTTGGACAGGTCAAGACAGTGACAGGTATTGCAACACAAGGTAACCCAGATATGAATGCATGGGTGGCGTCATACAAAGTTAGTTACAGCTTTGATAACACATATTGGAATGAGTACAAAGAAGGACAGGTCGTTAAGGTAATATCGTCTGGGCTATGAATATTAGTCATATATATAAGCCTGCTATATGAGTACATCCTAATGATCTAATGACAGGTGTTTTTTAATGTGAGCTTATTAAAAGCCTTTTGATGTTAACAATCCACTTATTATTATATTCTTTTGTACATTCCCGGATTGTATTAAATAGAATTTAGAAGGAAGCAGCGATGGGAATGGCGTCAGAGTCAACTGGTTTAGGAATTCAATAGCAGCACGTTATATCAGAATTACTCCTCAGACCCACAACTCAGGGGGCGGTGTCTGTCTACGATTTGATGTCTATGGATGTGATATCTGTAAGTCATACGAGAAAGTATTTTTAAACTGAAATCCTTACTTATCTCATGGGAATATTAAAATCTAATCAATAATGATAATTGTGCGGTTTCACTGCAGTCGTTGCCCCCAAAATAAGCCTAAATGACCTCATCCTTCCAACCATCAAAGGAAGATCCATTACACTAACATGTAGTGTACTTGGTGAACCAGCACCTGACATACAGTGGTTTAAGAATGGAACAAAGATCAACGGTGCAACACAATCAACACTACAAGTACAGTTTGTCTCTGCTGAAGATGTGATGTCCAAGTACAACTGTACAAGACAAGATCCCAACACACGAGCTGTGATCTGTAACACGTTCTACACGTGTAGGGCAACGTATCCAAACTACGTGCCAAGTGGAGGAATGAATGAGGCATCGGGGAAAGTAACGGTGAACCTGAGTAAGTCAAGGGATAAGGGATAAGGGTTCTTTGATTCCATCTTTGTTTAAAAATTTCGTTTGCAAAAATAAATAAATAAATCTTAGTACTCATGTTTCGCCTTTCTATAATGCAGATGTGCTGGAAGCACCAGATGTGGCAGTAACACCAAACAAGACATCGATGACACTCATCTGGACAGCAATGACTGCTTCTGATGACGTTGGGACCATTACCTCGTACACCACACAACTCCTAGATCAGAGCGGTTCAATCATCACCTATAATACACACCATCCTGCTTCTAACTACATGTTTAAAGATCTCAAGCCGTACAGCAGCTACAGCATCAGAATGAATGCAATAAGTACTGTAGGGCAAGGACTATGGAGCAGTTGGCTAAATGATTCAACACTAATTGCTGGTATTTGTCATTCAAAATTGCTTGTTCATATAAAGCCGAGCTTTCCATCAACCTTTGACGAGTTTCATTTAAAATACTGCATTTTAATTTATAATTGAGTAGTATATTACGTACGTAGAATATAAATAGTTGTATACAGTTTTCTTTAAGTTTGCAGACATGCCCACACCTTCCTGCGTGCATCATTGYGTGCTTTGGAAAATAACTTCAGCATCTTTCATATGGAAAGTTTGAGCTCTTCGATTAAATCCCACTCATACACATACACTTCCACTTATATAGAATTTTTGGCTCTCATATTTTTGAGAATTAGTGAGCGCACGAAAAAAAAAACAAGTTCAAAATTTCTGGATCAGTATACCATTAGATGGAATTTAATTCCGCTGTAAAAGGTTTAATGTTTCCATAAATTTTAATTTCTTGTTGAATATTTCATGATTCTATAATTATATTTCTTTGTAGAGCCGCAAGGCGTTCCATCGATCATAGGGACAAATTTACTGTCATCAGAAAGTATTAGAATTTTTTTGAAGGTAAACAAGTTTATAATTAACTACGTGAATGGATGCCATATCATGTACCTAAACTCATAAGGCCTRAAAAATACAATGAACCCGGTGTAAGTGAAAAGACCCATGCCTTGTAATTTTGTTAATAGGATAAGCTGAAATTGATGGTTTTCACAGCCGCCATGTTGGAGGAATTTAAAGTGCTTATTAGCCTTTACACAATATTTTCAGAATTGATTCTTTAAATARTGAATAGTTGATTGTGAAAATAATTCGTCATTTGAATGTCGGGTCTTTGAGATACGAAGGTTTATATTTCCAATATGTTAATGACTATGACGTAACATAAGGGATTTGAGTTATTATATCCTGTTTATACTTCAAACGGGAAATTTGACACCGCATACTACAAATCCAACGTCTTTCACGAATATTAAAGATAAAACATATTAATAAACGACATGACATTATTAGAAAGTAAATCTGGCTATTTTTGACTCTGTGAATCATGAGGAGTTTACTTTTAAGTAAAAGTTTAAAAACTTTTAAATGAATAACTTAGATCTGTTTATTCTAGTACTCACAATTAGACCTGTTACATGGTCCTATGGCTGGATTCAGAATATTCTACACACCAGAAGGCGGATCACAACAACAGACTGACGTGGGTAACGTCGGCCATGCAACGCTGACGAATCTTAGAAAATACACTAACTACGACNTATAAAATTTTTATTTCATTATAATGCGAATTTACGCTTTTGAAATTCATGATGACGTAGGTGAAAACCAAGAATATGCTATTTCTGTTTAGAGCTCTTGACAGTAAGATCCGGTTACCAAGTTCACTTTTCACCCTTTTCTTTTTGCGTTTGACATGCAGTTCAGCGGTAACTATGACAGAACAACAGTGGTTACTAATGCAATAACCAACCCATTCAGAGCCAGGTTTGTTCGTGTACTTCCAACTGCTTACCAAGAATACAAGTTGCTAAGGATGGATTTCAAAGGACTTTCTTTAGGTAGGAGGCAATATTTCGGAGTGCTCTTCATCATTGCATGTCACATGCGATTTCGCAAAACGTATAAATTTTTGTTTATTTTCTTCAAGGTTGCACCTCGTCGCTTGGTCTAGAGAATTCACAAATACCAGACTCACACTTAACGTCATCTTCATCATCCGATAATTCCCATGCTGCACCACGTGCTCGTCTGTATGGCAGTTCGTCATGGTGCAGCCAAACAAATGGTAATAATGAGTACATACAGGTTGACCTTGGACAGGTCAAGACAGTGACAGGTATTGCAACACAAGGTAACCCACATATGAATGCATGGGTTACGTCATACAAAGTTAGCTACAGCTTTGATAACACATATTGGAATGAGTACAAAGAAGGACAGGTCGTTAAGGTAATATAGTCTGGGCTATGATTATTAGTCATATATATATAAGCCTGCTCAAAAGTACATCCTAATGATCTAATGACAGGTGTTTTTTAATGTGAGCTTATTAAAAGCCTTTTGATGTTAACAATCCACTTATTATTATATATTTTTTGTACTTTCCCGGATTTTATTAAATAGAATTTTGAAGGAAACAGCGATAGGAATGCCGTCAGAGTCAACTGGCTTAGGAATCCAATAGCAGCACGTTATATCAGAATTATTCCTCAGCCCCACAACTCAGGGGGCGGTTACTGTCTACGATTTGATGTCTATGGATGTGATATCTGTAAGTCATATGTGAACGTATTTTTAAACTGAAATCCTTACTGATCACATGGGAATATTAAAATCTAATCAATAATGATAATTGTGCGGTATTATTTTAGTCGTTGCCCCGAAAGTGATTTTGAATACTGTTGACTCCATCCTTTCAAGCATCAAAGGAAGTTCCATTACATTAACMTGTAGTGTAGTTGGTGAACCAGCACCTGACATACAGTGGTTTAAGAATGGAACAAAGATCAACGGTGCAACACAATCAACACTACAGGTACAATTTATCTCAGCTGAAGACGTGGTGTCCAAGTACAACTGTACAAGACAAGATCCCAACACACGAGCTGTGGTCTGTAACACGTTCTACACGTGTAGGGCAACGTATCCAAACTACGTTCCAAGTGGAGGAATGAATGAGGCATCGGGGAAAGTGACGGTGAACCTGAGTAAGTCAAGGGATAACATTCTTTGATTCCATCTTTGTTGAAAAATTTCGTTTGCAAAAAAATAAATGAAAAAATCTTAGTACTCATGTTTTGCCTTTCTATAATGCAGATGTGCTGGAATCACCAGATGTTGCAGTAACACCAAGTAACAGGTCTATAACACTGAGTTGGACAATGGATGCTGCTTCTGATGACTTTGGGACCATTACCTCGTACACCATACAACTCTATGACCAGAGCGGTTTAATCGTCACCCATAATGCAGACCATGTTGCTTCTAACTACATGTTTACAGATCTCAAGCCGTACACCAACTACAGCATCAGAATAAATGCAATAAGTACTGTGGGGCAAGGGCTGTGGAGCAATTGGCTAAATGCTTCAACACTAATTGCTGGTATTTGTCATTCAAAATTGCTTGTTCATATAAAACCGAGCTTTACCAACAAGCTTTGCCGAGTTTCTTAAAAAAAATACTGCATTTAAATTTATAATTGAGTGGTATATTACGTACGTAGAATATTAATAGTTGTATACAGTATTCTCTAACTTTGCAGACATGCTCACACCTTCCGGCATGCATCATTGTGTGCTTTGGAAAATAACTTCAGCATCTTTCATATGAAAAGTTTGAGCTCTTCGATTAATTTCCACTCATATGAATACACCTCCACGTATATAGAATTGGCTCTAATATTTTTGAGAATTAGTGAGCGCACGAAAAAAAAAACGAGTTCAAATTTTTTGGGTCAGTATACCATTAGCTGGAATTCCATTGTTACCGATTCAATGTTCCATATAATTCTAATTTCTTAATTGAATATTTATTCTAAAATATACATCTTTGTAGAACCGCAAGGTGTTCCATCAATCACAGGGATAACTTCGCTGTCATCAGAAAGTATAAAAATTTATTTCAAGGTAAAAAAACCTTTATAATCAACCAGCTGTATGGTTGCTGTATCATATACCTAAACTCATAAGGCCTTTCTCGAATTAAAAATGAAAAAAATAACCCGGTGTGACTGACAAGAACTATGCCTATGAAAACCAGCTCAAATTCTATCCTGTTTATACACAAGAGATGAAAATAAATGTGACGTTATCTGAAGGTAAACCTGGCTATTTTTGATAATTTCATTAACACTGGGCAAGGTGGATTAAACTTTGCGTATACAAAGCTGCAATTTTAATGTGCTAAATGAATAGCTTAGATCTGCTTATTTCAGTACTCACGATTAGACCTGTTACATGGTCCAATGGCTGGATTCAGAATATTCTACACACCAGAAGGCGGAACACGACAACAGATTGAAGTGGGTAACGTTAGCCATGCAACGCTGACAAATCTTAGAAAATACACTAACTACGACATATCAGTGGCTGTACGAAACACTATATATATGGGTCCTGTAAGCAGCGTTACAAGAAAAAGAACATTAGAGGATGGTGAGAAGGAATTTATTTTTGTTCCTTGTTTGATCATTTTTTTACTTTGTTACATTTGCAATTTGTTCTAACTTTGTTTATTTTCATCCTCTTAGTCCCTGATATTGGCCCACAAAACACAACAGCAACAAAGATAAACGACACAACATTTCTGGTTACCTGGCAGCCGTTATCAACAGCTCAAAGTAACGGCGTGGTTACTAAGTACGAGATCTTTTGGTCAATAGTTGTTGAGGGAGGTCGTTCACGAAGATCATTACAGGAAATGTTTAATACTACAACAAATGCTACCCAGTACACACTGTACAACCTTAGATTGTGTGCAAACTATAGAGTATCTGTCAGGGGTTATACCAGTGTTGGACCAGGACCCAGAAGTACCATTAATATTTTGACATCGCGTGAGTTGATATTATTCTGATATTTGGAAACCATTTTCAGAACACAACTAATAAGCTTGATTTTTATTCAGAGCCTGATAACCCTACTGATGTACAAGCTGAGAGTCTAACGAAGACTTCTATTGAATTAAGATGGAAAAAGCCCTTGCCAATATCATTGGTTGTTGATGAATATATGGTAAGTTGTGAGTTATCGAGACTAGTCAAAAATACTCGGTTACTAGGTAAAATCTAGTAACTTTTAAGTATTATATTCAAACATTTAGTCATAATTCGGTGATTTTCAAGTACTTAGATTAACCTTATGATATGATGGCACTTGAATTTATTTTGGTTAGTTGATWAGTTTGATTGTATGTTCAAATTATGGAGTGTGTCCTGTTTACTCGATTTAGATTGAAGTAAAAGGTTCTAAAACATACTGGCCAAAGTACTCATTTTCAGAGACTTACCCGCAGAATGGAGCACGAACTAACATGGTTATCGACAGTCTTGTGCCTGGTACAAACTATGAATTCTGGGTAACTGCGTCAACAGAATGTGGAAAGAGTCAAAAAAGTGAATCAAGTAAAAAAGACACAGACATTGACAGTAAGTTTCATAAGTGATTCCGGTTTTGCTTGCTGTCTCGCTGCCTAAAGCATCATTTAAATACTTCATGTTCTAGATCCTGTTAAGCCTACAGGGAATTCTGTGACTCTAAAGGACAAATTTGACGTTCCATTATGGTCAGTTGATCCTGTCAATGGACCAATCAGGTAGTTATTACAAATTGTATTTTTAAGCTTGTACAACACATTTTCTGATTTAATATATTTAAAAATCGAGATCTCCCCCTTTTGARTGTGCTACAGGTCTATACATCAAGATATAAATAATACAACAACAGTTACCTAATTATGTAGAGAAGTGTACACTTCGTATCCATTATTAACGTCACTATTAACATATTACAGTTCATATCAAGTTATCGTAATCAAAGGGAACAAAGATTTCAGTCACTTACCACCAAATATCAGTGACTACAAAGATGCACAAGAGCTTTACGTCACAGCAGAACTGAAACCAAACGAGATCAAGTCATCTTTTGCTGTTGGTGACAATAAAATATATGGAACCTATAAAAATGTACCACTAGACAAAGGAAAAACATCTACTGTTGTAGAAAGAGCGATTACTGAACGTCAAGGAGTAAGTACACCTGCTAGAAATTATATCAAAACTTTCGTCTAGTACGTAGATCGGATATAATGATTAACAGAAACTTATATACAAGTATATCAAAAGTATATCAAAAATTATGG